GGGGGCCCGAGGACCCGGGCCGCAGCGCGGGGTCGCAGGCTGCGAGGCCACAGGATTAGCAGTAGCAGCGCAGTCAGCGCCGCCCCGTCTCTGCCAAGGGTCGGCGCCACTCTGGAAAGGGTCGTCGGCGCCCGCGCCCCCGCTGCGGTCGCCGTCATCTCCGCGCGGGCTGCCGCGACGCCGAGAGCCGCCAGCGCCAGGGGCCACGCCGTGCCGACGCGACTGAGAGGCAGCCCCATCAGGCACCCCCCCCCGCAGGAACGAATCGCGAGGGGAACGTGGCGATGTCGAAGGGCGCGAGGGATGAAACCAGAATGCAGCGCTGCGGCGGCGAAGATGTTGCGTGCCAAAAGACGCATCCTGAGCGCCGCGGGGTCGCTCAGAACTGCGGCCAGCGTGGGCCGCGACTCCCGCGGGCAAGCCCGAGGGATACACTCCGAATTTGAGCCATAATGGCGACGGAAAAGGGGATAAATATATATATATATATATATATATATATATATATGTATTTATATATATATATATGTGCGCATCTCTCCCTCTATATGTCTTTCTGCATGTCTTTATTATTCCCTCTCTCTCTATATATGTATGTATGTATATATATATATATATATATATATATATCTAGCCATGCGACATAGCTGCCACCGAAGACGTCGGGCCCTGGGCGCCCCACTCCTGTCATCTCTCAGGCGCGACAGCTCCATGTGGAGGCCCGAAGAAGAAACGCAGGGCTACGAACCTCGATGCGAGCAAAGTTGAGGGCCCCTCTGAACTGCCACGCCACGACGCTGCGTCCTCCCGGCGGGCGCCGCCGCATACAGCTCGAGATGGAAAATTTCGCTGCGCCAGCCCGAGTGGCGAAATAAATGCGAGAGTCAGTCGCATCGCCCATGGTAGAACGAAGCGCAAGGGACTCCTGCGCATGATCTGGAACATTGCACACTGGGCTCCGCGGCGCCACCTGCAGCTGCGGCAAACCCACAGCGGCATCCGTCCACTCCTCATGAATAGACATGTGCGTGTCCACGCCCGATGCGTCTTCGACGGCCACTTGAGCGCCCCCCTCATCCGCGGGAACGCGCGCATCTCCGCGGCCCGCGAAAATCACCCGCGCCACCCTGCGCCATGGCACGCGACAGAGGAGGCGGCCTCTCGATGGGGAGCTTGCGAGGCAGCCCCCAGGGGCCCGGGGCTGGCGGAATCGGGGTCGAAGCGCAATCCACCCTGGGAACCTCCGCCGCAGATCGAGCCATGGATCTGTTTCTGTCTGGCCTATCCTTTATCTCTGGACGGCCAGGGCGAGGGGTGGCACGAGGGGCCCTCGTCGTCCACTTTCGAAACTGACGCGAGTGCCCAGGTCGAGCTTCAATCCGTGGCAGGCCTTGCCCGCTTTCTCTACCGCTCGAAGGTTCGCGGGCGATCTCAAAATCCAGGGCCGCGCCAAATCGGTAACTGCCGCGCAATCAAACTCGCGCCCGCTACCCAGCGCGCGCGGGCGCCCCGCGCTCGGCGCCGCTACGATCGCGCCCCCGATCAAAGACAGCCAACGTGTAAGGGACAGCCCCCGATGGGGTCATGTAAGAATCTCCGATAGCAGCCCGCGGACCTGACGCCGCGGCGACAGGCGCGCCCGCGCTGGCGAGCCCCGGGAAAGTCGCCGTCAGCCGGATCGAAGGCAACAGGAAGCGAAGCAAGAAGCAAAGACTAGACTGGCCATGGGCTTGAGGCAGCATGCCCACTACACGTCGAATGTCGACGCCAGACTGAGGCGCGCCACCGCCAAGGTCGAATACCGACTAGGCGGCGAGGCCCCGAAGAGAGGCGGCGCAAGAACGGGGGGCGACACTTCTTCAGAGCACCAGCGACAATACCTCCTGCGCGCTTCGGCACCTGTCTCGCGCAGCGCCAGATGAACTCCGGAGCGCCTGGCCTTCCACCTATTGCGAGGAGCGCCTCCCAGTCCGCTCCTCCACGCGCATTTCCGGAATCTCGACGACGCCGGCAGCTCGATTCCTCGCTGGGGACTTGACTGCGGGACCCCGCCAGCCGACGTTCCTCGCGCGCGGGCGCGCCGAGCGCGGCCCAGGTGGCAGGGGGCGCCCCCGAAGCGCGCGGCCCCGCCCAGGGGGGGGGGACCGCTGCCCTGGCCGCGCGGGGCGGCCGGGCCCATTTCCTTCCAGCAGAAGCAATTTCAAGGGCGGCGCTAGGCTGAGACGACGCCGAAGACAAGGAAGCGAACGTGAAGACGCCAATCCCTGCGACGCGCCTGACCCTATCCCTGGGGTCACCGCGCCCCTTGCCACGCGGGGCGCTGCTTAGCCTGCGCGTTCCCCTCCAATTGAGACACCTGGGTGAATGAAAGAGTCCTCGCATCGCGCCGTCGTAGCCGAAGATCAAAAGTGAGCGGCAGAAGCCCCGCTCTGCCCTGGCATGATCTTCGCGGGCGCGGCGCGGAGGCCTGAAACCGAAGCGTAAGAAGTACCTGCGACTGAAGCGCCTGCCACCTGCAAAGCGCCTGGCCCCGCTCCGGGGAATCCACCCCCCCTCTCGCGCGGGGCGGCGGGGGGCTCTCGCCGTCCCCATCCAGCCGATCCACCAGGGTGAGTGAGTGGCCCCGCGCTCTGCGCCGTCGCGGCCGATGCTCTGGCGCGGGCGCAGGCTGCCCTGCCCTGCCCCGCCGAGGCAGCCTTCTCGATTCCCGCGGCACTGTCAAAGCGCATGAAGGGCCGAATTCTGTGGCGCAGATGGCCCGCTTGTCCCTCGGCTTGATGATTCGCCAAAGCCGAGGGAGACATGTGCGTTGAAGTAGATGCGCGTCGTCGCCTGCTGCCGTCGAGCGCGCCTGGCTCAGGGGGGGCCTCCACATCCGACTGCGTTTGCTGCCGATGGCCTCCAGCCTGGCCGCCTGGTCGTCGACCGGAAGGGACGCCATCTGCTGCAAACTGAAATGCCGCAGCGCCTCCCGCGGAAACACCACCAGGACCCGCACCTGATGATGCTGCCCCAGATCCCGACCCTGCCGAAGGTGCCGAAGCGCCTGCAGCTCCAACCTGTTGAGAAGGAGGCGGGCCTGGGGAATTACGCCTGCGCTCGATGATGATCAATTCGCGGATGTCCAAGATCTTGTCACGATGCCCCTTGGGCTTCTGATGCGCTTCTCCGAACTTGGCCTCCAACGCGTGGAAGAGAGCCGTCGCCAGTGCCTTCTTCCCTCTGTCAATCTCGGCCATGTCGGACGCATCGATCAGCCCATCATCGCTCGCAAATCCGCTCCCAGCAAGACAAGACAAATCGTAATCATCAACATTGGACGCCGGCAGCAAGGCTGACAGGTCAAGAACCGTGCGATCTGCTTGACCACCTCCTGCTTGCTGTGGCTGTATGCCGCGCGTCCCCTACGCCTGTGCAAGATTCGTCGCCGCATCCTAAAGGCATTTCTTGTACTTGTCGAGCTCGAACGTGAGCTTGAGCTGCTGGGTGTGTGCGTTGTCGAAGGCCGTCAGAGCCCGCTGGACCTCACTCGCCACCGCCGTCACTTGCTGAGTCATTGGCTGCGAAGACTCCTGACGCTTACCCTCGGTCTTCGCGGCCTGGAGCAACGCCTGAACTGCCTTGGCCTGATCCGACCCAGCACGCTCTTCGATAACTGTCTCTAACTGCGCCTCGAGGGCCGAACTCGACTCCTTGGTCTGTGAAGGCCCTTTTCCCTGTGTTCCTGCCTCCTGGGCCGCCAGCACGCTTGCCATCCTAAAAGGGAGGCTGGTTGCTGAATGGCGCCCCGAATAATCAGGTATTGCTATGCATCGGCAGCTTGATCACCCAAAGACACCGCGCACAGGAAGAACACTTCACATTGCTGTTGTTGGGGCAGGGATTTGACTGAAGGCACGGACGGCGCCAAGCTGGCATAGGCGAGGGTGGAGGAACAGACCACTACTGAGGCTGCTGAGCCATATGCCATGGAAGCCATGACAATGGCGCGCGAGAAACCGACTGCTGTGAACCAGGCGGAGAAGGAAGAGGGGGGGCACTGATCCTCACCACCAGCCTGCTGAGCCTTAGGCCTGTTACGACCCTTTTTGATTTTACCCATTTTCAGACCGACGATTTGCGCTTTTCGATTCCTGTCTAGGAATGTCGGAGCCCAGCCGAAATCGCGTGGAGATTATCCAGGGCCTTGGAAGCCTGCAGCACCCCCCCGGCGCCGCAGACGGTCGAAACCCAAACGGCTGAGATTGATGGAATGGGGAAGGCCAAAGGATGGAGGAGGAGGAGGAGGAGAAGGAGGAGGAGGAGGAGGAGGAAGGGGGAGGAGGAGGAGGGCGGAACACGTCAGAGAGTACCAAGCGGGCGACCGTCTCCAAACGAGACAGATAGTCCATCTCGATCACTGCAAGCAGAGCCACGTCTGGGCCGAAGGATACCCTCTGAGGACTACGGCCATACCGACGAGCCGGCGCCCGAAGTTGCCAAGACGCTGTGTCCAGGCCTGGGCATGGAGGGCCAAGGATGCGGCGTTCAAAACCTGATGGTGGACCAGCGTGGGCCAGGCCGAACCGAAACAGCATCGAAAAGCCAGGATCACTGGGAGAAGCTTCTCCTTCGCCACGCTTTCGCCCTGACAAAAGGAAGGAGATCGTGCAAAGGGGTCCCGCTTCCGGTCGGCTCCTCTGTAGCTCTGTGCGCTCGCAGCTGCGCTCGTCTGGCACACAACCGTAGGACGGTGCCCGACGGGGGATGCCTCGCACCACTGCGTCCGCTTCCGCCCTCTTGTGCCTGCGATCGATCCGTTCATCGAATCCTCCTCGTCCGTCGCCCTCGTATCACCCGTCCCCATCGCCCGTCGTGCTACCTGCGACCCCCCTCTTGCCCACCTCACCCATCGTTCCCGCCATCCACGCCCGCCCGCTCAATCGACAGCACTCCATGGGCCCCCCCCAAAAAAGGAAGACCAGGGCGAGGACGGAACGCCCCCCCGGCAGCTGCGGGTCCGCGCCCACCGCCGGCGCCTGCTTCGACCCGAGGTCGGCGGCCACCTTTGCGTCGGCGAGGGCGTCCGCGTAGCGGCCCGCCCCAGCGTTGGCGGCCTCGGGCGTTGAGGCTCCCGGGGGCCCCGAAAACGTCGGGCTGGAACCGTCCCGGCTGCCCCCGAACCGGCGGAGAGATGGGGGCCTCCGGAAGGAGGGGGGTCTACACTTCGCAGGACCTCTGGAGAGCGTGACCACTTCCGCCCCTGCCCAATCACCTTCCGATCTTGCGCTCGCATCCGCCGTGCCCAATTTCCCCCCCGCCAAATAAGCGAGGGTCCTTCCTCTGCCTCAGGCGAAAAGCGAATTGGAGGTCGGAGGCCCACAATTGAGTGTTCGGGCCCTCGCGGGTCGTCTCCTCCCAGTGGCCCTTCGCAAAGATTCCCGCCGGCCGGCAGGCCACCGGGGACGGCTGCGGGCAAGGCCGAGCGTCGCTTGTAGTGGACGCCGTCGTTGGGGTCGGCAAAGATGGCCTGGCCCCGCCCAGGGCAGGCGCGCGCAGGTAGGTTCGCCCAGATTTTCTTTCGCCTACGACCCCCATCCACGGCCAAGTGGAATCGACTGACCCTGCCGGCGCCCGTCCGCGGGCTCTGCTCGATACGCTTTCGTTGAGGGGAGACGGCGCGGAGGAAGCCTTGTGGACTCTCCAAATCTGGCTGGAATCCAGGCGGGTTTTTCGGACTCAATCGACACACAATCAAAGTCATCATCATGATCGCCATCATCATCATTATCACCATCAGCATCGTCATCATCAGCATCATCATCATCAATACCACCATCATCATCGTCATCGTCATCATCATGACCTCGTTGTCTTCATCATCATCATCATCGCCCTCGTCACCTCATTGTCATCGTCATCGTCATCGTCATCGCCATCATGATCATCATCGTCTCGTCGTCGTCATCCAGGATCGCCAGAGAACCGCCGACCTTCGGCGGAGGGCGGGGGAAGGCAGATAGGAGACATGCTTCCGCAGGTCTCGGTCCAAAGTGTCGGGGACTATTGCAGTCGGGGCCCAATCGGTCAGGCCAGAAGCAGGGGTGGCCTGCTGCCTCGCGCGGTCAGTGCGCAACACTTCGGCCATCCGTCGAAAATGCGCTTGCGCTCCTCGCGGCGGCGCAAGTCGTGTTCCAGGGCGGACGGGTTCCCCGGTTCCCCGCGTAGAAAGACACAGGCTTCTGGTTGAGGGCGATTCGTTCTTGGCATTCCACCTTCACTTCCACGGGGCGCGCACCGAAAAGCGTCGCAGACGCACGCAGCAAGGATCAGCCGCCGCCAGCGTGCCAACCATCGCCCCGCGCGAACGCGTTGTCGGCGAAGTCCTCTTGCAGGATGGGCTGCCCGTCCTTCTTGGAGATCTGGCCCGGCGCGTTGTCGTCGCGGGCCGCCAAGCGCATTGCGGCGCCCAGCCGTCGCAGCCAAAGGCGCCGCTTAGCCCGCATCGCCCGCGCGAAAGTGGCGAAGCGCTCCGACGGGGTCAGCTGCAAGTTCGCGCCCCTGTTCAGGGTGCGGCACTGAGAAATTCTGTTCGTCCACGATGCCTGCGATCTCGGTTTTGAAACCCAGTGCATCCTCCCCCCCTCGGACGCAGTGGGAATGGGTTGCCCCCGTCTCCGGGCGCTGCTTGGCCAGGCTGTTCCAGCTCGGGCATGTCTGCGCCGAGCGGAGCAGCTCTGGTTCGAGGCCCCCCTCCGCTATCGCTCCGACGCCGTTCTTGCCAGGCTGCTTCGCCGGGCGGACATGCAGCGGCGCCTGGCCGGGCGGCTGCAAGAAGCAATGGGCTTTCGCCTCGGCGATGCCCATTCTCGCGGACGGCAGCCGCACCAACGACTCGTCGACGAGCTGGGCGAGACCTCCGGGGCAGCCATCGAGGCGGGGGGAAGGCTAGGCCCGCGGGGGCCTCGCTGATTCAGCCGTCGGCCGAGCCTCGCCCGACTGCTTGTGCCCCTCCTTCAGGAAAGGCAAGGGGTCCCGCCGCGCGGCCGGGCGCTCTGCCTTCCGCGGCCCATCTCTGTCTCTCTCTCTCTCTCTCTCTCTCTCTCTCTCTCTCTCTCTCTCTCTCTCTCTCTCTCTCTCTCTCTCTCTCTCGCTGCCTGGAAGCCCCAAGGTCGCCGCGAAGGCGTCCGCGATGTCTCTGCAGCGCGCGGCGCAGAAGAACGGCTGGCGCGCGCATAACCCCGCGGCCGCGCGCCTGCAAGACCACGCGCCCGAATATCATTGAAAACGCCGGCTCCCCAGGAAGACGTCTGGAGGCCTGCGATTGGCCGTGCCGGCGTGGATCTTGTCGTCGCTAGGGCGCGGCTTCCTCTGCAGCACGACGCGGTGGATCGCCGCCCCCGCGCGGCCGAGGTCGCCGATCGCCGCCCGCGGAAGGAGGGGGCGGGCGGGGGAGAGGGGGGCGACTACGACCTCCGGGGGGAAGCGGGGAGAGTCGCGGCAGGACGACGATCTCTGGGGGGAAGGGTGGGGCGGACGGCAGGCCGACGGCCTCCGGCGGGGAGGGCGGTCTCTAACAGCCCTGGCGAGGACGCGACTTCAACTCTAACAGCCCATGTTAGAACTCGACGTGAGTCCTAGCAGCCCACGTTAGAACTCGATTGAGTTCTAACAGCCCATGTTTGAACTCGATTCAGTTCGAACGCCCCAAGTTAGAGCTCGATTTGAACTCTCGCAACCGACATTAGAATCTGGCTTAAGTTCTCACAGCCAACGTTAGAACTCGGTTTGACTTCTAACAGCCCATGTTAGAACTCGGCTGAACCATTACAGCCCATACTAGAATCCGACTTGAGTTCTAACAGCCCATGTTAGAATTCGATTTGAGTTCTGACAGCCCATGCTCGAATTCGATGTGAGTGCTGTTGCAGCCCTGGTTCTAACAACGCTGGTTCTCGCCTCGAAAGACCCCGGGATCTGGCACTCGAGCTCCAGCTTGCTGCGGAGGGGCCGGCGTCGCGGAGCCCCATTCGCCGAGCTCCCGTTCTGTCGGCGGCTCTTTCAATTCAAATCAACCGCGCAACTGCATCGTCCCTCGCATGATGATGTTTACTATATTGAGGTCGCTGTGAACACAGCCTCAGTCGCGGATGACATGCAGCCCGTCGAAAAAGCCGTTGAAGCAGTGGCGCATGCCGCTCTGCGTGAAGATGGAGTTCTGAAGACATTGGCGCGCGTCGATCTCGTGGAGGTCGAACACGAGGCCGATGTTGACCGACCAAACCCACCTATTCTGCAGCGACTGCTGCGACTGTCGCAGTCCTTTCTCTCGACATCCCTTCAACTGCCTGAAGAGGCTCGCGTCGACCAGCCGAACGACGATCGGGCGCAAGCCCAGAACAACGCGTCGCCTGACCTCGTCCTCAGCCGCTCCCTGGGCATCTGCATTGCACCCCGGAATCCGACTGGCCCCCCGGCAGTCCCGCGGCACCTCGATGGCGCAGCCTCGCTTCTGCTTCCCGCGGAGAACTTTTCGCGCCGAGATATACCTTGCCATGAGATCCCTGGCCGAGCTCCGCTGCCCAGTCCACGGTGCAAGCACGTTCCAGGTCCTTGCACTAGGTCGCGCCCCTGGCGAAGTGCACCACGCTGACCGCGTCGAGCATCAGCGACGGCAGATTGGCACCGCTGCCGGCCTCAGCTGTTGCAGCGCTTGAGGCGATCGCCCCCGAACTGGGCGCTCCGCGCGCGGGGCGTCGGATGGCGCTGGCAGATGGCGCGGCAGATGGCGCGGGCGAAGCTGGCTCCCGCCGGGGGGTCGGATCTCCGGCGGCGGATTACCTCCGCCGTGACCTCCCGGCGTTCTTCCTGAGCTGTTGCAGCCAGCTGAGCTGCCTGAGCTGTTGCAGCCCCCTGAGCTGCTGCGGCCCCCTGCTCGTGCACCCGCGCGCCCGCGGGCTCGGTCGCGGACCGCTTCCACTTCATCGCCCGGCGCAATCTTCAACATCCGAACGCAGGTATCTGCGGGAACTGCATGGGGCATGTGATCTCCACTATGTTGTTTCGTGACCTTCTCCAACGCCGCATTTCTGTTCGGCCCCCCTGGCTCTCTGGCCATGGTAGCGCAACTCTACGCAACAATGCTGCAGGACACAAGGCACGATTGAATAATGTAAGGGCACCCTGTGGAAAGTCGCGCATCCTTACTCTGGGCGCCGAGGGCGCCCTGCTCCGAGCCCTCCGCGCGCGCGACTTGAAAGGTGACGGAGGGCTCTTTTCCTGAACTCGCAGCGTCGCGTCGCAGGATGACGCCTGCACCCCCCGCGCTGCCCATCGCGGGCAGCCCGCGCCGTGGCGCGGCGGCCGTTCCGCGACGTCGTGAGGGCGGCGCCGCCAGCGCGCGGATCTGTTGAAGAGCTTCTCGCGGCCTCCGCCGGGGGCCCCCGTGCCCCAGCGCGCTCGCTGCAAGCCCGTGCCTAGCCGCAGCGGCAGCGGTGCGCCGCGCGGTCGTCGCCGAAATCGAAACGCGGAGCAGCTGTTCCAGCAGGGGCGGGCCTCCTCGGAGCCGTTGCAGCCCGCGCCCAAGCCTTCGCCGTCTTCTGATTCGCCTGCTTCGGCGCGTCTTCATCGGAGGCGGGGTCGGAGACCCAGTCCGAGGGCGAGGAGTCATCGACCTTCTGAGTATTCTTCGCAATATTATTTATGTTGCTCGCCTTCTTCTCCTCAATATTGTCATCCATCTTGTCCTCCTTCTGGTCGCCCTGCTCGCTGCCCTCCTTCCCGCCCTCGTTCGCGCCCTCCTTCGTCGAGCGCACTTGCGCGGAGCGTGCCGCCAGAGAGTCGCTCACGAACGCCACGGCGCCGCTGCCGAGCATGGCCTCGACGGCCCGCTCCACGAGAAACGGGCCCAAGTGTCCCCCGTGGCGTTCGTCGTGGCGCAAGGCCGAGACGCTGCGGCCCACCCCCAAGCAACCGCGCATTCCCGCTCCGCCCGCAAGCGCCCCGCAGCGCACCCGCCGAGGCCTCCCGGCCTCGCGGCGGAACTCCTTCCAGGAGCTCGATGTCGTCGTTGCGGGAGAGCCGCTGCACCTCCGTGCCAGTCAGCTGCCCGCAGAGCCCCCGCTTCCTGATGGCCGCAGTCGCCATGGCCTCCTCGGGGGGAGCTGTTGCAGCGTCCGCGCCAGCATCCACGCCAGCCGTTGCAGCGTCCTCGTCGTCGATGGGCGGCGGGCCACGTCGCTCTGGGAGCTCCTCGGCCTCCGCCTCGGAGACGCGCGTGCCGATCATCGGCTTCAAGCTGGTCTCCCGAATCTCACGGGACACGAGGGCATGGCCCTTCTGCGGGAGAACAGGCGCATCCCGCACCACTCCGTTGAAAACGGGGCTGCCTGGGTCCACGCGCGCCTTGAACTTGGCAAGCTGCTTCGGCGAGCATCCCAGATCCGCCGCCGTGCCCTTGGGCGCGGAGTGGGCGTGCCCCGAGGTCCTCTGCCTCGCCGCCTAAGCCTCAGCCTCAGCCCTGATGAATCA